TAGATGGCTTATTCCATGTGTTACTGAACATATCTTAGTGTATCAAAGTAAACGACTAGTGAGAACTATTCGAAACATTGACATAAGAAGAGAACTTGGGCACTATGTTAGTGTATAATTCCATCATAGGGTAAATTTGTTTGACGTAGGCACACAGTGATACAGTATTATTTACTGATAATGTTTACAGTACAATTTACTGCTCATAATCATACCAAGGCACTCACATAGCTTTCTATTTTCGTTTATCCGAAGTATTACGTTTTTTCTTTTCTGGTCGACAGCAGTCACTAAGTGAGCAAAACTGAAGTAATCAGGACGATACACCTCATCCTAATGATTTCCATATTCGCACACTGAGTGTAGCTAAGGCTGTTTGCATTCGAACTAATAATCTTAAACTGTTTTCGGAAAAACCTTCCTGCAACCAATTATATTCATGTTTTCCGGATATTTATGTATCTTACTATTTTTTATGCCGTCACTTCTCTAGTTTTACTACATTGTCGATAAAACTCGGTTCATTATAGTTTATTATAGGTTAGCCTTCCCATATCTAATACACCTTTCCAACGTCTGCTCATATAACCAAAACTGTTCAACTTCTCCAGTCTTCAGATATTTCTTCATTATTAATGATCACAGAACATTGCATATTTCATACCCATTTTATCATCTCATTAACAAATTACCATGACTGACTTCTACAAAACATAAATTTGTGAGGTTGCTTATTGTAGTAAGGCCTGTGATTGGCTTATATGTTTTCTTCTGAAACTGCATATTACAAACCTCTTCAGCATACTACTCTCATTCTATGTGGACCTTGTGGAAGTACATCACAAATAATTGTCATACTTCAAGTTAATAGTTACAGAGAACAGAAAGAGAATAATATGTGAGTATTCTGATGTTGCATGTATCAGCCTATTTGCGTCACCTGCCAAAAAGATAAATAACACTTGATGAATTCTACTGTCAGATACGACATTTTGAAGTATGTGACATATCCCTATTATACAACACCAAGCAAAACATATAACAAGTGAAATAAACAATCTGATAGGAATTTCATTATTGGATTTACACTGCTATCTGACTGTTAGCACTATGATGTCCAGAAATGAAAAGATTAAACTGCACATTCATTTCCAGAAGAAGTGGATGTAAACAGCTTGCTGACTATTTTAGTTACTTCGGTAACCAGAAGGGAAGAAAATATCAATCTTTTAAAACAGATATATTCATTGAATCCCATATGAGTGTCAGTTTTACTTTATGTCTACATTTAGGTCATTAAATATCTAGTGTGATTTCCACTCATTATTAATATCATCAAATTGTTTTGGTGTCTTAACGTTAAGAAAGAAAATACTGAATTCGGTTTCGTGATGTAATTTATATTTGTCAACTAAGCATTTTTGCGAAGCGATTTAGTCTCCAACAAATATGAACCATCTATCATTCATTCTTCCATCATGTTTCTGATGTTTTTACCAATCCCTCTATAATATGACGAACTAGAAGTTTTTTCGTAAAAGCCGTGTATACTTTAGATGACGGCTTCAGTATTTTTAAATCCAATGAATTAAAAGTGTTCCCCCAAGGTATATCTATCAGCGTCGAACGTGTCACAGTGCAAATCAGACAATAATATATATATGCTATATTAAGAAAGTTGTAGCAAAATAATATATACGGAGTTTGATGGTTTGCTAATTATCTTGACGTCATAAAACAGTTGTTAATATACCGCTGGTTTTTAGTCTGCCGAGTCATTTCATTATCTGGTACGTGTCGGGAACTTAATGATACATTACGTCACATGTTTTAGGAATACCTTTCACTATGCGCGATAGATACTCACTTAATCTTTTTGTTAAACAAATTTGTTAGGAAGGAATGACCAATGTATGTCTACAAAACATAGACCATTCAAAATTACAGTTTTTCAGTAAAGAACCGAACACTGACGTAACCCATATTGATCACTTTTCCCTTTTTAAAACTGGAAGAAACACGTAGACGTGTGATTTTGGAAGAGTTATTAGAATGGCTATCAAGAAGTGCGAAACTACAAGAATGTATCGGTTTCGAAAAAGTAATTCAGGTCGCTTAATCAACCCTAACCTTAACCTTCCTCTAAATAACCCTAACGCTAATCACCTCTGATCTTCCTGTAACTCAATATCAATTTACTCCTAACCTATTCCAACCTTAATATAAAATAACAGGATATCCTGTCTGATGTTCCCATATTGCTTTCATCATCTTTTTGGAATACAGTATCTTTAACGTGGTTTCAGTAACTTGCTCTGTATTTGAGTTTCAAGGTTATTGGTGAGTCAGCCCTGATTTTTACGGAAAATGTTTAAAATACAATTAACTGAATTTATTTTAAATGTGAATGTGTGATTTCGTAACACTGACATATCCACTAGCTGATACAAGAATTCTAAGAGTTCCCATCTTTTAAACACATATCTTGGTTAAATATCAGTTTATAATGTTGCAAGCAACATTCGGTTGCTGTTGCCGACTAAACTAGACTTCAGAAGACAAATCTGTTGAAATATTTAGCTTTGGTTGCAAAACAGATTGAAGGCTTATGGATGACACATATATACAGCGATAAAAGCAGAATATACGCACAGGTTCTTCAAGCACATGGTAGGTGCAATCAAGTTTACTTATCAGTCAGAAACTCAAGAAGCAGAGCTTTCGATGTTAGATAAGATCTGCAAAGAAATAATTTGGTAGGTCGAACAGTAATATCCACAGACAAACAATAGATATTCACACATTTTCAATATATGAGAGTGTTAGTGTATAATATTTTTTTGCCTTATAACGATGAACATATCTTTAGACACAGGAAAGCAGATTTCTTTATTGATTTCATTTTAATCAATGGGGATTAATTTGAAAATGACATAAAAACTTTTTAATAGGGGCTCATTTCTAAAACCAAATAGTAATACTGCTGCATTTCAGTAATTTCGCTGACGAAATGAAATTTAAGTGAAGTTGCTGAAGCTGTTACAAGGATGAAATCTTAGTCAGGTCTGATTGGTTCGGTTATATATTCATTTGTTCCTTACGTATTCACGCCAACTGGAGGACATCAAAGTTGTTCCTTAATAACCGAATTCAACTTTTGTGTAAATGGGTGGCCAGTCTGTAGCTATGTGTTTGTGAAGTATCTAATAATAACATGAATTTTTACTGTTTTATAAGCCGGTAGTAAGGCAGTTGTACTTATATATATATTGTTTATATCGTAATGCAATTTGTCATACACATGACATTTTTCTGTCAATGCATGAAATGTCTTTTTCCAATTTCCTTTAATATCGCTTTTCACCTTCTTCATTTTACCTTTGTTTCGTGTCATATATTAATAGTTTCTGGTGTACTTTATAGGTATTGAATTTCTATCTCATACTAAAAACAATTCTTAAGGTAATAAACAACTGAAAGTATCTCACAGATGGTATAATAATAAACTTTACAGATATACATCATACGTATCCTTCATTCAGATCACAGTGCATGCAATAATGTATTTATTGGAAAAGGCATAAATCTAGCAGAGTAAATCAGAAAAGTTATCAACATAAAATGAAAATAGGACAATGGATGAAAAAGGACTAAAGCACTATATGATCATTTCTTTTATGCAGAAACATTTATTAGACACAGCAGTCGACTTGACGCCATTTATACCGTCGAAAATGCAATAAACTGTTGCTTAGTTGCCTAAAAGGTTTATCCTGAGAATTGCTGCTTTTATTACTGGGAGCAACTTTTTAAAATTTTGATTATTTTTCAGGTCTAATTTCGTCTTGGTCATTGTTTCAGTTAAGGCTAAGTATTTCAAATGCACCGAAATACTTTATAATTTGTTATTTATAAAGCAGTCGGATATGTTCAGATAAATTCACATTTAACTTTATACGTGCGCTGCTATTAAGTAGGAAGTTAGGTGCAATAAAAGAATCTTTTTTGGAACATTGACACATCAAATAATAAATATTAATAGTAATATATTGCAAATCGCATGAAATTCGCTTACACCTCGTCATCGTCGTAGTGCTACGACTGTCCCTCGATGCGAATATGTGATCTTTCCAAAAAGGATTTCGATTAGGTAGATTCAACAAGTTTCGTAAGTTCTACCAAGTCTTATCCAAATATTTTACATAAACTGAGAGCAAATTCTTATTTGGAATCAATATTTCTGGGTGTGTAATATTCAACAAATAATTATTCTTCAATAATTAAATATAAAGTTATTCAAATTAACGCCTGTTTTTTTATAGTTTTATCAACTTCCTCGTCAGTCAGATTTCACTGAGAAGGAATTTAAAAAAGCAACATAAGAATATCAAGTGGATGTGCCAGGTAGGTTAAGTGGAAGAACTTTGTCTTCACTGTAGACTGTTTAGAATCAAAGCCATCTCACAAAAGACAATATTAACCTTGCAGTGTACGCAATAGTCAGGGATCTTTAGAAAATGAAAAGAAGCACCATATTTTTAGTCATTATTTTCTTAGTTACTACTTTCAATAGTGCGTCGGTGGCACAGCAGTTAGGACTCTCGCCGACCATGCCTATAGTCCGAGGTTCTATCCCCTACCGACGCACACATGATATCAATGGTCAGCCTACAAAATTTGGGCTACCGATATTACATGCTGAAAATTCCATACATGTACCAAAAATACGGTGTGGAACCAAGCTATAATAAAAAAATATGTATCGCATTTTATCAAAAGCTTGAATAAATTCTTTTTCCTACACGGATGATACGATATTTTTTTCTTAAATGCTTGCTGTTTTGTTGACTGTCCAGAAGAAGGACTTTATTTATAAAGGAATGGGATAGACCTTTCAAATGCCACTGTTTTAATAACGTTTAAAGAGACTTACATTTAAGATTGAAAATAGTTTTACAACATATTTAGAAACTTGCATATAAGTTATCAAAAAGACTCACTTGATTTCAAGTTTGTATCCGACTTTCCTTTAACGCCTGCAACATTAGAATTAGTTTCCTCGTTTTCGTTTACTTGATCTGCCTTCATTTCGGATGATTTCAGTTTTAGTTTTTCTGGCTGTTGTTTCACGGGTTCTTCTTCTTCTTTAGGTAGTAATAATATCCAATCAGCCAGTCCTAGTTCACTGATTTCCTTACAGAATTGAGCATTCTTCTCTAATAAATCCTGCGTGTATAGTTATTATTGATGATTAGGTCAGTTGGTGTGTTTTTGGCCATTTTGTGTATGCATTTCGTATGTTGTAGAGAAAAAAGGAATAATAATAATAAACATAAGCATAAAACGGATATGATAACGAACGAAAACTATTTATTATAGGTTTTAGTTGCTAATACCAATATGAGGGACTTCATCAATCAAGTTCACAAAAGCTGTTCTCAAGAAATTTCATAATTGCTTTAATTTTCAAGGTGTATTTGCTAGTGCTTGTTTGTTATAGAAGGAGATTGCTTCATGTATTTTTCCAGTTTACCTGATGGTTTAAATTATTTGCGAAAATTGTAATTATTTCCTTTGTTTTTTCTGTAATGATAAACAAATTTTAGAAATTTCTTCTGTTAGTTTTTCAGTTATTATTGGAAATATTTTCACAAAAGTAGAAATTATTTCCTTTCTAGCCATAGGCTTTCCAGTACCAAGTGATAGTTGTGATTATCATTGTGTATGCTTTTGTAAGCCAATCACAATTACCGTTTTTGTTTCATACAAATGGACATATATTACCCTTGAATAATCCTAACACCATATGATTATTACAACTATTGCTACTAAATGTTGATGCTTCCACCACCATTTAACGTGTCGTATTCTGTGTTAGTTGTTTACTTTTACCACTGCGATGACCCTTGAACAGGACCGTTCATATTAGTTATGTGTGTACAAGTGCGTGGAAATATTGACAGACATATTTATGCACCTGTGTGTGTGTGTGTGTACAAAAATAATCTGCATGGCCTGAAAAACTTTTTTTAAAACTAGATAATCAAACTGAAATTAATAAAGCATTGCAAAGATATTTTGACTGAAGTGAAATCAAGGGAAGAAGTGTAAAATAAATATTCCATATTTTGCATTTTAGTACTAAATGGAAGAGAATAAAACGGCACTCTTACATTTTATTGACTTAACGTATGTTTTCGTTATGTCTTGATTTAGGATTATTGCCATACAGTGGTTAGAGTTTTGTAAGTGCTTCCAGACGTTTTTTTCTAGAAATTTGTCTGGGCTGTAGCAACTAATTTACCTCACTCATGCGTAAATTAATTCTGGTTTTTTCTTACTCTAAGTTTCTAACTTGTTCACATTGGTCCCTTAAAGAGGTTTTTTCCATGCTTCAGTTTGCATCTTTATTTTCAACTCATCTTACGTAACAGAAAATTCTTAAGGTTGATTCCTCTGTTCATTGTTTATACAGTGAATCTGTACAGTAGAAAACCATTTATAAATTACCTGTGATCTTTAAACAGGGATGGTTGAAATCTCACGAGTACCTCATGAAGAAGAAAGAATCTGGGATCAATACTCTTAGGGAATTTTTGAAGCCGAATGTATATTAAGCTAAGGGTATATTTTCGTGAAAAGACACGAACAAGTTGAATCAGTTATTTCGATTAGACTGGTTTGCGGCTAGTACTTTTCTGATATTAGTTTACGATAAAATCCAATTATGGATAATTTAGTCACTCTAGAAACAGTCACTGAATCGAAAAATTTTGACTGGAATAAAAATCTTCAGAAGTGATTGATTCAAAATAAGTAGAATGAACTGTAGTATTCAAACTTCTAAATAATGTCCTGTAACCAAGTCGTTTCAATTCTAATGAAGTAAAATGGAAAAGTCATGGGTTCTTGCATAATTAAACTTAAGTAATTGCACTTTCTAGTTAATGAGAAAGTGGTATTTCAATTATTACTATTTCGAATGTTTAGGTTAGTTCTTAACTTTTCAGTGGCAATGACAAGGAAGGTCCACCTGTAGATATATGAAGTAAATTAAAAACCATTCCAGAATTACTACTGATATTCATAGAATACAAATACTGATATTTTTCATTCATTCAATGCAATTTGGTTTAAAGTCGTTACAATGACATTTTCTACTTTTTTGTTAGCATAATACAATCCTCAATATCATTTTACTGTTATTTTCCAAGTCTGTATGTATTTTCTCTACTTTTCACTCTTCATTCATCGACAGTACTATGGTGTTTTACAAAGCGCAGAAATTAGATAGTTGGAGGCAAATAATAAGAGGCCTTGGACTAAGGTTTCGCAATCGTCAGCAAGACGTACCTACAGACTTGAAGGAGCTCATGTCTCCTCTGAGGTCCATCACCGGGTCACCCAGTGTTGCAGGCCGAGACGTTACAGCTGAGTCATTCAAGCTCACGACTGACCTCCTGTAGGACGGAATTGGATGCTTTGATTAAACACTAGGTAGTAACTAGTATCATGAGTTTCAACTTTGTTTGTTACACTTGATACATATTCGTATTTGTAAAATTTGCCCACAATTCGAAATAAATTCAATTCATCTTTTAAAGCAATTAGTAGTATACAAAACTTATGAAATACTCTGACAAGTCGACTGAATACTTTTTCATTGGAACCAAATTTAAAAATTCGAAATTTTTAATATGCAGGGGAAATAAAGTTATATAGCCTTCTCGTATAGTAGTACATATGTGATAAATAATAATCTCATTACGCTGGAATCAATTGGGATTAGCACTGAGGTGGAAGATACCAAAATCTTAAGTGAAAAAGTCAATTTATCAACATGAAGAGCTTGTCTGTCTCCTGTTTACCAACACAAAAAACATCTGTTCACCAGGTGGATGCGAACCGAAGGTTTTTCTCCAGATCGAAAACACTTTCACATTGCTAATAAATGAAGAAATATTCCATTTGATAAGCTTTTTGTTAGGTATTTTCAAATGAAAATAAATCAGCCATGTTCAACTAAAAAAAAATCAAACTTAGATAATGGTGAACTGTTTATCTTACGGTGGAAATACAAGTTTTCTGTGAACAGTAATAATATCTTGTAACTAACCTAGAATAAAATGCACCTTTATGTGCAGACACAAAGTTGTTCGAAACGTTGACTGAATTCCATTTTTTATACGCATTAATTCTACTGAATAAAGCAGATTTCACTAAAACAAATTCTGTGCATTAAGATTAGCTATTTATAAGATGGAAACCTGATCCTGAGAATGTGTTCGTTTTCAGGAAAGACTTTATTTACCATGACAGAAAGTTGACCATGCATGAGGCACACAGTAATGTTCTTGTAACGTATGTGTAAGCTGCTTTAAATAAGCTGACACAGACTTCAACTGAGTTGTTCTGTTACACCATTTTAGGAGAGTTACTCAGTACACTAAAGAAAATACGTGTTTTTGCTAAACATCAACTTCTTTTCTCACACTTCAAATCTGAACCAGTTTCTCTAACGAATGGTTCAAACGTGCTGGAAGGAAAAATTTTGTTGTAATATATTTACACCATCGCCTTAACACTGAATAAGTGGGGAAATAAACGGAGGATTGTATCATCGCTGATATATATTACTAGGAATATTTTGCTTTCTCTTCAGCTTCAAAACATGCAACTAACTTCTTATCACAATAAAAGGGCTGACTTTAATGTTCAGTATCACTTGTTAAGGTTGCAATATTATGTATATGCCTACAAAATTTAAAAGGCTTAAAGTTGGGAATAAAAACTAATCGGCATGCTCTTTGGTTTTTTGTTGATATCTGTTTGTATCTCACGAATGGCATCTATAAAATGTGACGAATACGCTTTATGATTTCAGTAATCTAATAAAATTACAAGTAAGATAGAAACTGCGGAATAAATACTACATTTTCATGTGTTAATGATAAATCATGCATAATTTGCGACATGATAGTTTTCAGTCCGAAAAGTAATTCTACTTAACTGATTAAAAAACGTTGCTAAAATTTTCTCAAAAGAATGGTTACCGAACAAAGAATATTCTTTTCGATTAATTCATCATCAGGTTCTACAGTTTCATATACATAATAGTGAATGAATTAGTGTTATTAACAACATTAATGTTTTAATAACATCGAATCAATGATATCAACAGATTACGAAAAATATTAGTACAAATCCATGAATTTATAGTCTCCACTGAAGGCCAGGGGAGTAGCAGTGGCTGGATGTGCTTCTTTTTCACACAGAGCACTGGTTGTTTCACGCGATCCGCGATAGTCTCTGCTGTTTGAAGCATAAGGTACCTCGATGTTTTTTGCAATTTATGTGGTACCCAGTAGATGATAGAGAAGGAATTTTCAATGCTGGCATTGTGGCCAGTTTGAACCAGATGGTGGCTTTTACTACACCTTTATTTAGCCACACTGGTAGATGATCACGGGCACAAAATTCTAGTTCCTTGAGCAACGGCCGAGTAGCTAGACAGTAAATATTCTCAAACCTTTGCATAAGTAGATAGTGAAACATAGCGTCAAAGATGAATTCGAATTTGTAGCCGAAATCAGAGATATTAATATCAAGGATAAAATTATTAACTTTTGAATATAACATCTTTATTCACAAATGTACATCTAGCACAAACAGTTAACTGCATAAGTGAACAAGTGTATAAACAGTCGATAAATATTGGCATCACAACGGAAATCCAAAAAGAGTTGTTATTAAGGTGTACCATGAATGTGAATTTCAAATTTTAAGGCACACTTTACAGACAAGTAGATGGGGGGACGATGGGCTCCCCTTTGGGTCCCGTTTTGGCAGATTACTTTCTAAGTAAACTAGAAAATGAACCTCTGAGCAACCTTATCAGAAAATTCTCAATTTATTGTCAGTATATGGATGATAATGATTCGGATAGCAACACAATAATAACTCAGTGAAGTTCATTTTGTTATGAAATTTTACGTGCGAAGAGGAATCCCAAAACAGAATTGCCTTCTTAGATGTCCTCCTTACAAGAAAACCAGATGGTAATATAAAGAGAAATTTGCATAGGAAAAGCACATTGACAGAACAATATACACATTTTCATAGCTTCGTTCCTCTCCAGCAGAAAAGAAATTTAGTAAGAACCCTCAGCCACATGGTTAGAACTATATGCAAAGGAAAGGTAACTGAAGGTGAACTAAGGATAGTAT